AATCTCCCCAAAACCCCAAAACCCCAAAACCCCTACTTATTTGTAAAATATTGAATAATTTTTACATCAAGAAATAATGGGAACAAGCAATTCAGTAATGATTTCATCTGCAGTGTTGAGAAAATCATATCTTGGAACAATACAATCTGAAAATGAAGAAGTAGATGTATATTATAAACCTAAAGATTGTATTTTTACTTTACCCAAAGAGACAAAAATAGATGAAAGCCAAGAAGACCAACAAATAAAGTGTAAAGAGATGTATAAATATGAATCTTTCTTAACCTTGGATCATCAAAGAGATTTTACAAATAACTCTCTTAGCTTTAAGTATTTGGTAAGCTCCAATAGCTTGGCGCTAATTCAATAGGATGAGAAGCACAAATCTATCCAAGCTAAAACGTTTCATTTCACAACAGAAAAAGAATATAAACAAGCATTCTCTATTTTGGGAAATATTAATCCTGGTCAAAGGGATGGAAAGCAAAGATATCTAGGAATTATAGTTAATCCTATCTCAGGAAGCAAATAAATCAGTTGATTATTTTGAAAATGTCTTTAAGCCAGTCTTAGAATGAGCTGGCTTAAAATATGATGTATTCCAAACAACTGGCCCTACTTACATACAGAATTTAATAAAGGATATTGATCTTAATGAAACACCATACACAGATTTTATTGTCATTGGAGGAGATGGAACTATCTTCCAGTTGATTAATTCTTGTGAGAATCATCCACAGAAGGAATCTCTTCGTAAAATCCCTCTTGGATTTTTTCCTGGAGGTTCTACCAATGTTATCAGCTGAGACCTTGGATGCACAAATGAATATCTTTCAACTAGTAAAATATTAAAAGGAGACACTATACAAACAGACCTGATTGTGACTACTTTAGATGATGGGAAGAAAGTATATGGACTAGGAGGCTTCATTTATGGTCATGCTGAGGTTTCTGTTCGAGATTCAGTAGCAGATAGAGAAAATTTTGGAAAATTTAGATATATGATACGAGGAGTCCAAGATTTCTTTAGTAGCATTCATACCCCAAAATTTCCAGTGGAAATATCATATAAGTTGCATAAACCTTTAAAACAAAACAAAGAAGAGAGTAAGCAAATATTGCCAATTTTATACGAAAAATGGAGAAAATATCCCTTAAACGAAATTTTCTCAATGGCAATAATCCACCACGAATGTAGATCTACATTTTTTAGCGCTCCGTTATTCCCAGGGATGAGATACAACCAAGGAAGAATGCTACTTTATATCTTTGAGCCAACTTACAAATATAGGATGCTTGAGTTTATTTTTAAATGGATATATGGCAAAGGAAAGCAAGTATATGTCCCAGATGTTACACTCACTACTATTTCCAAAATCCGTCTATCATTCCCAACTAAAACCTTTGTTGCCGTTGATGGTGAAAAGTACGAAACCTCGCACTGTAGCCTTGAACTATCGCCGCACAAGGTGAACCTGATCGGCCAGCTCTGTAAGTCAGTCTTTGGTTAAAGGGTATTTATACATGTATAGGGGATTACAAGGATTATGAACATGATGTTGTTAATTATTTTGGATTTTAGTAAATTAACTGGGGATTATGTAGGGGTTTTGGGGTTTTGGGGTTTTGGGG